GCCTTTGCCGAACCCGAAGTTCCATTGGCCCAATTTATGTCTGGGTAATTGAAGTCACCCATCACGACTACATTGCCCTCTCTCCCAGCTATTCCTATCTGTGAGTGAAGATTGACTTCTCCCTCTTCCCCTATATTTGGAGGTTTATAGCAAGTACCCACGAGAAGTTTACGGCTAGCGTCCGTCATATCTAGCTTAATGTGATAGCAATAACATTAAAGGAGAACTATGGGGTTAGGGCTTTTCCCCATAGTTCTCCTAAGGGTAACGGGAGGACACAAACTAGCGTTCTCCCGTCACCCTAAGCTCAGTATACCGCAAGCTACCGCTAGCGTTATACTGAGACGCTGCAGCCGGAGCGGATCCCGACATCGATGTCGAGATCCGCCCAGCTGCGTGAGTGACAGTTGGCTCTGCCTATCTAGAGGCAGAGCTAGCTGTACCCGCCCCCTCCCCCGTCCGTTCCGCCAAATAAAAAAAAGTATAAACCTCCCCTCCAAAAAATCTTTAAGTCCCCCACCCCCATATAAACGTAAATACGCATCAGATGCGGCTGAGCATGAAAACGTCAACATGTTACATATCGCCGCGAACGTCGCAGTGTGATCAATAATTCTGGGGCCATCAATAACTGATAACACGAAACTGATGAGCGGTAAAAGCTTTTAAAGCGTTGCCTATGGCCATTTTTGGGTATTGTAGTTTTTTGAGGTTTCGCGGGCGCGTGCAATTTTAAGGCTTTACATGTTTGGTGACTTTTTACCCAACGTGACCCCATTTTTTATATTTTACCAAAAAATTGGGTAATAATAAATGTTTTATAATTTAATATAGGGGAAAGTTGTTTTTTTTTTAATTTTCGGTCATTTTTCCTTACTATAGTAAAAAATAAAACCCCCAGTGATGATTAAATACCACCAAAAGAAAGCTCTATCTGTCCCCAACAAATGGTATTAAATTCATTTCAGTACAGTGTTGCATGACGGAATAAATGTCAGTCAAAGTACTGCAGCGCTGAATACTGGACAATGGCTGGGACTGGAAGGGTGTTTAACACCGCGGACTTCAAGTGGTTAAAGAAAACTGGAGCATGTGGCTATGCCTGCAGTTAGATGCCAGAGGTGTCCTGGACAAGCTGGACATGTTGAAGGGTATGCCACAGTGAAACCCACAAGCACAGGTACCCTGGGTGCACACTGCCCGTTTATTATTACTGGCAGGGACTTTGCTGGGGGAAGATCCCAGTTTCCTCATCTCATGTAACCTCTGGTCATCCCTCCCCTCGTCACCACACATAAACACCCGCCAGGGGGCGCTGCGACACCCACACCAGGCACACTGTCAACACACACAGAAAGAGACGTACTGTGACTCCGCCTGGGGGAGGGACTTCAGGCTTGTGATTGGTCAGCTCTAGCCATGTGATGGTTGTTGCTTATCATGCTGTCCTGTTCCTCCCCGGCTCTCCCCTGACTTCTGTTCTGTCTTGTCGCCGCCCCCGTGTCTTCCTCTCAGCTGCTGTCCGCCATTTCCTCCGGAGCCTCCGACTTCCTGTCATACGTCTCTGCCTCTGACCGCTTCCTGCTTGGACTGACCAGGCAGGCAAGCGGCCGGCTGTGGCCTGGCACTCCCAGGCTAATGTGCGGCCCGAGCCGGGAGGCGGAGGAGGATGTTCCCGCACTCCCCCAGCCTGGGCCGCAGTCCTCTGCTCCCCTCACACCCACATCAGCACCACCCCGGGGAGCTGCTGAGCACCGAGCGCCTGCTGCACCACAAGTGAGTCCCGGGGGGGGGAGGTGGGCTTGAGACAGTGCCTTTGAGGGGGACACAGTATAAGTGGACAGAGCCTCGGAGGGGAGACAGAGTATGAATGGGTAGAGTCGTGGAGAGGGTAACAGAGTATGAGTGGACAGTGCCATTGAGGGGGACACAGTATAAGTGGACATGGCCTCGGAGGGGAGACAGAGTATGAATGGGTAGAGTCGTGGAGAGGGTAACAGAGTATGAGTGGACAGTACAAAATGATTGAGGAGGGTAGGCTCGGACACCCCGGTGCTTTAGCAAAGTATACAAATGTGTAATCTCTTTAGATCAGTTGTTCTCAACCTGTGTAACCTCAGGACCCAAGTCACACCACACCGAAACGCATGGTATTCCAGTGTGGACTGTCAAACTGGGGGTGGGTGGTGCTTTTGCGGTGGCATTCAAGTGAGTGGCAACGCAACACACCTCCCGCACCAGAATGCGTGGTAGGTGTGATTGTGTGGTACAGTGCGTTAATAACACGGGGCTATGCAATTAATGCACTGTACTAGTGTGAATGGGCTCTCAAAAACACAGACACAATCTCACACACTCACTCTCACACACACATACATATTCTCCCCCCCCCAATTTTGTTTTTATTTTATTTTTTAAGGTCCTCCCAGTCTCCCTACCTTCAAGAACTAGCGTGGATCCTCAGACTGGTGGCCAGTATGGGCTACTGTGCTGTGACGGAGCTCCATCCATATGTGCATTGCTTGTACAACTCCCTTGCACGTCCTGTAGAGGTGCCGGGAGCCAGAATGTTAAATCACTCTGGTCCAGGCACCGCTGCATGGCACGTGAGAGAGCAATGCACGTATGCATGAAGCTCCCTCACGGCCATACCCCCAGCCCACCCCACCTCAAGCTGACGCTCGGCGCTGGTCAGTGTGAAAACTGACAGTGCTGCATTAGGGGGAGGCTGAGGAACCTCTCACCTAGTGCAGTGGAAGGCATGCAGTGACCCCCTTTTGGGTCGTGACCCACCAGTTGAGAAGCACGGCTTTAGAGTGATAAAGCTGGGACTTGCAGTAAGAGAATTTCACCAAACAAGGTTTTTAGTGCCTTCCTTTGCAGTCTGTATACTTGTCTTCTCCACCTTTACCAGTGGTCCTGCAAGGAACGTATTGGCAGCATTTAGTGAATATTGTCCCACAAAACACACTCACTTGTAAAACTTTCAAATGACATGCCCTGCACCCCGGGCAAAGCTCTCTGTATAGCTGGTGGACTTTGTAGTCATGTGCAGAAAACTCATCTCATGTCTAGGGTTACAGTATGTAACACTTGTACAAGTTAAAGTGTATGTTATCCCAAGATATCATTTTTCATATACTCTCTGTTTTTCCGTGTAGATGTTCATAAATGTCCCATGGTCTGTCTTTATTTCTCAGCTTGCTGTCAAATATCTGGTGATCCTGCCAGTCCACCTTTCTTTTTTCAGTCTGACCACACCTCGTATAGAAGCAGATCTGTGCTGGTGTGGTCAGTTTGTGTGTCCGTTTGGGAGATGCAGTACATCATGCTGACCCATGTGGTGCTTGTATCTACCTTAGTCAGTATAACCCACCATGCCCTCCACCCGGCCTTCTGTGTGTGATTGACAGAAGCTCCCAGCAGGAGGCTTGCTGTCAGACTGCAGCTGTTCATAGCCAGTACAGCTGTGAGTTGGCTGAGAACAGATCGGTAATAACCAGGATTTCTATACATGGATTATTTAGCATTGAAATTTCCAACTATATACCTGTGCATGACTTAATACTCTGACCCCCTGCATGATATAGAGACACATCCCTTGCTATGTGGAAGAAGCACTTGAAGGGAGGCTGTGCGCTCATGTCGCTGCCAAATAAAACCTAAGAGTAAGGTACATAAGGATTATTTTGTGTTAAAGTAAATTAGATTACAGTTAAATACTATTTGCTGAGTTACTGTTGGCTTGTGCCCTGTGTTCACAAATACTTTAAGGCGTGTCCTTATGCAGGCAGTGTGTGCAAATGCAGGCTCAGGTTAGCGTTATTCATGAATACATTATATTTAAAGCTCTCAGAAGCTCTGCAATCGCAGACTATGGATTGTTTGGACGAGATATTATTGTTTTAAAGTCATTAGGCAAGTGCCGCTTTTTATTTGCTAATTTATTGTTTCTTAAATGTGTATTAACATGACAATATTTTAGTCTTTCTAGAATGCTGATGAGTGGAAATGCTCTGCCTATGACTCCAGTGTCCTCGCCACCATGGTCGTATGGAAATCACAGCCCTTTAGTCAGCCCAAGTTCCTCTTCTCCATTCCAGAACAGGAAGTGAGTCTTTGTGTAATATCGTTTGAAGTTTCTCTTAAAATGGTTGTGAAATAAGTAGTACCGTATATACTCGAGTATAAGCCGTCCCGAATATAAGCCGAGGTACCTAATTTTAGCCAAAAAAACTGGGAAAAAGTATTGACCCGAATATAAGCCGAGGGTGGGAAATGAGGCAGCTAATGGTAGATAGATACCATTAAAATACATTAATATTTATTTAAAAGAAAAATAACCTAGCTCTGTAAGTGGAAAAGGGGGTACAGGGCTACATATCATGTACTACGGATCATTTAACCCATTCATATTAGCAGAGGATAATTGTAAATCTATTGTTCAGTGCACTCTATATGTAGTATATAGTACATGTACATATAGAGTGCCTGCAACAATACATTTACAATGATCCTCTGCTAACATGAATGGGTTAAATGATCCATAGAACAGGGCTACATACAGATCATTTAATACATTCATGTTAGTATAATTGTAAATGTATTGTCTGCACTGTATTAGCAGTATATACTCTATATAGAGTATATACTGCTAATACAGTGCAGACAATACATATATAATTGCTTAATTAATCTCTCTCTCTACCCCCTCCCTCCCCCCCCTCCCCTCACTCACTGTGTGCCGGTGATCGGATCATCACATCACGGAGAGAGCAGGGACGAGTCAGCGGCGCGCTGATCCAGTGGGAGGAGCTCCAGGTGGGGTCCTAATTTAGCTGGCTCAGAGGTGCCTGCCCGCTAAATTACAACCCCACCTGGAGCTCCTCTCGCCTGATCAGCGCGCCGCTGACTCATCCCTGCTCCCCTGCTGTACTGGCGCTGCGGGGGTTTTTTTTTCTTCTTACTTACCTCGCCGAGCGTCGCGGCTGCTCCGGTGGGCGGCGCTCCGAGCGGGGTCATCTGGCAGTCTCCGGCCACCTAAATTAGGACCCGGAGACTGCCAGATGACCCCGCTCGGAGCGCCGCACACCGAGCAGCAGTGACGCGACGCTCGGCGAGGTAAGTAAGAAGACGCGCTGGCGCTGACTCGAGTATAAGCCGAGGGGGGCACTTTTCACCCAAAAAAATGGGCTGAAAATCTCGGCTTATACTCGAGTATATACGGTATTTGTAAAATGTATGCATTGATTTATACTTGTAGTGATAAATGTGACTGCAGTTTGGGAATTGATATTGATGGTAGAAATGTGTTGGTATTACATGTTGTCTCCCAAGTGTGCATAACAGTATCTTAAAACAGTGCACTGGATTTAAGAGGAATGTGGACAACTACAGTGCTCTGTGATTAGCGTGGTTATGGGTGCTTAGGATCTCTAAGAAAGTGTATGTTAACATTACTAAAGTTGGGGGGTGAGGATGTGCAGCATTTGCCATAATGTGCAAGTATGCACAGTAATTGTACTCAGTATGGTGCATTTAACTCTGGATGTACTCTGCTCCAGCAATAAAAGGTGCAAGCTACCCTGTGCGGCCCTAGAGCTCCCAGTGCCGCTCTATGGGGCCTGCTGCAATATTTTTCTCTTCTTCCTCTAGGTCGGGGGTTTCCTTGCTATAAACTGTTTTTGTTGTCTGTAAATGCATGTTAGACAGTAGGCTTATGTTTGGTCATCTGCCCATCCTAATACCAGGTTTAAGGGCTTGGTCACTCATCACGTGGTAACGCACAGCAAAGCAACATTCACATGTTGGCGCATTGTGGTGCCATTAGGTTTGATTTGCATGCCAACGAACAACCAGATGGCACCTTTGCAGCGCACCACAATGCACTATGGGGGACATTTATCAATACTTCCTTAATAGTTGTGGTTGCTGATCTGTCGCATCTTGCATAGCAAGTTAGGGATAGATTTATTACATATACACAAGTCGCATAATAAATTCCAATATCCGCACCTATTTTCCAACTGCTCCTTAACACTTCTTAGTTCTGCAACAGATGTGTTGTTAATTGCCAGAAGAGATGATTGAAGTTGAAGCAGAAGCAATAGCAAGAATAGAAATAGAATATAGGCCACAGTCGCTATTTGGCCATACAATCAAGCCAAAATAAATCTTTCTCTTTGGTCACAAAACAGCCCCAAAGATTCATGCACAAAGTAGCACAACTACTTTAAGAAATGTCTTCCAACAGGAAAGAACTTCGAATTTCTCTATAAAGAAGTAAGATAAAAAGTATTTTTTGCTCCCTGTAAAGCAGTCAGAGATGGAGCTATAGATATTCTGTTTTCATTGTAGTTAAGTTGAAAATGGGCTAAATACATTGCAGGTGCATCAAAACCAAAGGTGTTCAAAGTCTTGGGGCCCATTCACTTCTGTCTGGTGTGTTAACGTGCCCATGTTAAAGTAGCCCGTTCATTTAAAGTGATGCTAAACCCAGGAGTTAAATCCTTCATTCAAGTACCTTTAACTATCCACAAAAATGTATCTTATTTGTGTGTCACTCGGTTGTAGATCCTCACATCATCTCTGAATTGCTGCTGACACTGTCCTTCCTTCTGGAGGGTAGCTACTTTTGTACCCTATGTTCTCTGTGTGTTGTAAAGTGGTCACCGCTCCGAGCTCGCTCCCGTGATGAACTACAATCTCACGTTTAGTTTACTCATTTGAGATTGTAGTCCATCACGGGAGTGAGCTTGGAATGGTGGCTACTTTACAACATACACAAGACTCACTAACCCCACTGTATCTATGGACGAAGCCATGGTTGTTAACCGGACTGCTGTCCTGAATTACAAATACGTCTTCGTTGTTAAATTAAAACATATGACACGTATGAACTTTAGCTACATGCTCCAAATCCTCAGCCAACGAGGTTTGATGGGTTACAATTGGTGGGGGAACCTTACCAGCTGTGGCCTGAGCAGAACCCCTGAGGCAGTTGAGAAATCACTCCCAAGTTATAGTGTGGCTCCATCACATACACAGAAAAGCAGGCTGACTCGTATTCTTCCAGTCCATTCTATTAACCACATAAAACTGTTTTCATCCCATGTAAAATAATTTGCTTGGCCTGGGTAAAATTCTCAAACATTTTGAACCATTATGAATAAAAAATGACATTCATCTCTGTCTACTTCACATTGCTACTAAGGCAATATTGATAGTTTCTGAATTAGCCATTAAAGCAAATATAAAAGGTTTTATTTCTTGAAGTAAGAAAACTTTGATCTGCTGAGGGAAATGTGATATTTTACCCTTTCTCAGCAACAGGCAGGCCACCAAATCATGTTGTTTACCCCTAAAGGTACATATTGGGTATTATTTCTACCTTCTTGGTAAACGCCTAGTTACACGGAAAGGGTCTCATCTGTATTCACTGAATAACTTGTGTCCTTGGAGTATGCATATGCAGCAGAGCCATGTCTCCATGGGGTTGTTATGCCTGCATGTTGACTTTCAAATAGCTTTAAAACAAATCCTCTTCTCTTATATAAAAATATAATATGTATAGAGGCTTTCTCTCAGTAAGTAAAAAGTAGTTTTTTGTGTTCTCTGAATGATACAAAAATAATCTACACCAAGGGTGGCCACATTAATTTGGAATTCGGGAGCCGGTCTGGCCAATCCAGGAGCTAGCAGAATATTTTTTTTAGGAGCCAACTCCATTGACAACAACCAGAGAAAACCTCAAAAGTTAGACGCCAGCTGTAATTTTTAAGGAGCATTGGGTACCTGGGCTCCCGGGATTTGTTCAGCCCTGATCTGTACTGAGAAAAGGTTTCTTTACAATCAAGTTATAATGTACTTCCAGCTTTGTATTTATCCATGCATAAATGGACACGGGAATTGACTGCGACAAAAAAAGCACATCACCACTGGTGACTGCAATGCAAACAATGTAATTATTGGATATTAAAGTAGTATTAAGGTCTGGGTGTTTTTTTACCCTAATGCATTCTCACCATTAGGGTAAAAACAGCCCAGGACCTTTTTTTTTTTTTTACCCCAGTCTCCCCCACACTTACCTCTTAGCTGCGCTCGTCCCCTCCGCCGGCCCCGAAGCGATCCTGTGTACCCTGAACTTCCGGGTTGCGGGGGAGTATACTGAGGGCAGAGGAAGAGCATGGTGGGGACACACTAGAAAATTAGGTAAGAAGTACTTTTTAAAAAAAAAACAGCCTCCAGCAAAGGATGGTCTCCTTAAAGGAGAAATGAAAAAAAAAAGTTGGCTTTAATATCACTTTAACTGGTAGTTCTAATTTATGAAAACCAATTGGTTTTCTTCAATCTCCATCCGAAAAGCCAAAAGAGATCTGAAAGCCAAAAGAAATTGCATGTTACTTTGGGGGAATGAGGGTTGTTTGCCAATCGGCAATGTCACACAGGAAGTATATAGCCCTGTGTAGGCTACAACTCCAGAGACTTGTAGCTTACACCGGACTTTCCTTTCTGAGTGGCTAAACGGAGCTTCGGAGAAGAGATAAAAAGGGAAGTTTGTGCTGCAGACAAAGACTTTGTTCAAGTGTTAATTTGACCTGTATTGGCAAAGCACGGATTCACTCTGTGCTCTTCTTTTCTTAATCCGTAAAAACCGATATTAAAACATATTTAGTGCATCTTTGCAAAACATGCACATTTCCCCATGTGGTTGATGTATCAGACATATATTGTACTCCTACCTACCTCTTTGACATAACACAACACAAGTGTGGTGTCAGCCCTGCCTGATTAATTTCCAAAGGATTACAAGGAACACGGACCTCTCCTCATCGCCATAACCCTTCCTTGTGCACAGAAAGAGAGAGCACAAGAAGATAAAAGATCACAAGATTTCAGACAGATCAACAGGTTTTTTCTTCTTCACTTGTCGAACATAAATAACTAAACACTTTATTTGGTATATTTAACAGACCAAAAGGGAACGAGAAATGTATTGTTGGAGTTTACATATGCTTTGTCAGTGGTGCTTGCGTTTTTCAAGACCAAAACCCAAAAAATATTACAGGACTCAAAATATAATATTGCTCCTTAAAGTGGAACTATGCTCCAGTGACGCAATGTCTACAAGCCCCGTCGCCGGCTTTTGAGTTGGGTTTTCTGTAATCTTGGTTGGCCTGACTGGAATGATGTGCACTGGAGTTAATTCATCCCAGCGCCTGGTGGATGGTAAGCTGCACATGCTTCGTGTACAATGTAAAGCAGGGCTGGCGTCTAGCTTTGAGGTTTTCTCTAGTTGTGGTCAATGGAGAAGCTCCTAAAAGAAAAATCCTGCTGGCTCCTGAATTCTACATTATTTTTTTTCCCCTGGTGTGAAAAGTTTGCAAGGAGGAAGAGAAGAATCTTTTATTACAGAATAGACATATGTCTCTTCTGCAATTAAAAACAAACCTTCCTGCGCTGAGGGCCTGTTCACATGATATCGGGTCCGGATCAGGTGCAGATCTGCAGACACGGTGCTACTGATGCAGTGCGTTTTGGCCGCGTTTTAGTTTTTAAAAAAAATAATAATTTTTTGCTGGCGTGTGGCTGTCAGTATGTTAGGTACAGTGCGTTTGACGCGTTTTGCGTTTGCGGTCCGTTTTCTGACCGAACAAAATGTGACATGAAGTATTTTTTCTGTCGTAACCTGAACGGACTGCGCACGTGAGAACTGTAGCCCATAAAACATATAGGGATACATTGGGATGCATTTTTAGTACAGGAGTATACGGATCAGGTCAGCACAGAAAACAGACGTCGTGTGAACAGGCCCTGAAAGGTTAAAGTTCTGCTGGAAAACTCTGACTGTATGTACACAGAAAGTTCACAGTACCCCTCTAAGGCAATCCAAACTCACTTTTTCCTCCTTGGAGTTCAAACAACAATGTACACCCCCTTGTACCACTCTTACCTGTGGTGTAGGAAACCAGCAGAGCCATACTTGCCTGTGATGTAATTATGGCACGCACTGGGAGAGGCCTAATGTCCACTACTGTAGTGACAAAACAGTGGGACTTACTCTCTCCGTGCGTGATTCTGAATTAAAAGAGAACTATGGTGTCAGTGTTTTTTCCCCATAGTTCTCTTCAGGGTCACGGCAGGGCATATACTAACCTCCTCCAGTGACCCAAAGCTCAGTATATAGCAAGCTATTGCCCGTGATATATACTGGGAGTGCCACAGCCAGGATGGATCTTGATAATACTGTCAGGATCCACCCAGCTGCGTGAGTGACGGCTCTCTCTGCCTATCTAGAGGCCGAGTCAGCTGTGCCCGCCCCCATCACCATCCATTCCTCAAGTCAGCGCTGGAGAATCGGAAAGGGGGGAATCCCTGCTTGGAGCTGTGACGGACAGTCACCGCTCACTGCAGGGAGATGATCGGGAAGTGAGTCAGTGACAGTATATGTTCGCTCACTTCTCCATCGATAGAGCCGATGTGTGACAGCTTCTTTGTGACAGGTCGGCTCTAACTATGAGGATGAGTGGAAATCACTCTCCTAGTTCTCCTTTAAGGGAGATACTCAATAGACCAGTACCATGCCACTGACCATCACAAAAGATGCATGGGGGAGATTCTTTCTAACTATGTGTTATTTAACTAACAATGGTAGGAAAGACCCTCAACTGTCCATATCGTTCACATCCACACCCGTGGTCCTTAGGTTGTGTATCCTGGGATTAAATGGCTGCTTTATTATCACGTTGCACATCAGAGGAAACTTTCTGCTTTGGCCAGAGTTGAAATTGAAACCCTTCCTCTCAGCAAATGCTGCCCCTGATAATGTAGGCAGATAAGTCGGAATGTCCAGTGTCTTTTCAGTCTCCTTTTAGATCTACCAAAATGATGTCATTAGAAGTCCTCCCTAACCAATCCGCGTGTATCTAGTCAAGTAGGTGATCATACTTCATAATAATGGCAGGTCTAAAGAGGATTACTCACCCTGATTACAAGGTGTATAGCATTGGCGCTCTTGTACAATTCCCACTGACAAAATACCATGTGATTGCATTCTGTGCTGGTTGTGGATCATACCATGAGGCTCCTACACACAGACACTATTGTTATTAGAGGAGAGAGGGTCTTCATATAGTTAGTTGACATGTACTGCTGTCAGAGTAGAAAGGACTTTCTGTCATTTGTGTACTGGGTGGGGCCTAAGTACAGATTTTAATGTTGTAAAGAATGTAAGGGCTTTTGTCAATGGGCTTTCAGCTTGTTTGGATGGCATCAGTTTGAGATGCTTAGGAGATTATTCATGATTCATTGACTTGCAGTTGACCTTCTTCTGAACTGCAGTAGACCTGCTTCAAGCAGGTTTTGCATGCCCATGGAGTGTATGGGAATGCAAAACCTGCTTGAAGTGAGAAAAAGCCCATTGACACGGGCCCTAACTTGCACCGTGTGCCTTTCCCCCTGGCATTGCATGTGTTTACATCAAGTTCAGAAGGGCATGCCCTGTAGTACAAATCCATCATACGTGCAGAGCTCAATACCACTGCTAGCTCTCCTCAAGTGTATCAATATCTATCACGGTCTCATAGATTAGTCATATTGCTACCTATTACCTTGTACCCTGCCAGAATAATGGAAGGGGGAATGCTTTGTCCTGCCTGCAGCAGACCAGTGACATTTCCCAGTATGTTCCTCTCAAGCACACCTTCAGAGGATGGGTCTAGTTGCTCCTGCTACTCGGTGACTGGTTCATAAAGTGACAGTAAACTCAGGAGGTAAATCATAAAAATACATTCAAGTACCCCAACTATTAACAGAAATATCTTATTTGTGTGTCACTCGGCTGTAGATCCTCAAATCATCTCTGAATTGGTGCGGACACTGTCCTTCCATCTAGAGGGGGGCTACTTCTGTTCCCCACGGTTCCTGGATGAGTTTTAACCCCTTCGTGACTGACGACGTACAGTGTACGTCGCAAGTGATGCACAAATAAGGTTCAGTATTGATAATAGTTCAGGTACTTAAATCTTAAAAATGCGATCAACTCCTGAGTTTAGTGTCACTTTAAAGGTAAAAGATTGTAAGCCCTCAGGGGCAGGGCCCTCCTTCCTCTTGTCTTGAATTGTATTGTGAGTGTAATGTCTTCCTTTATATTGTAAAGCGCTGCACAAACTGTTGGCGCTATATAAATACTGTATAATAATAATAAAAGGTGCATTTTCGAATGATACTGTTTTAAATATGTTTACATTTTTATAACCGTTGTGCTTTTGTTTGCAATTTGAAGATGTAAAAACGTGCAAAGTGAATTTGGGTTCTTTTTTGCCCAGATTATCCTTTTTACTTAGACAAATTCTACATTTTGAATCACTTTTACGGTAAGCGCTTTAGGTTCCATTTTTCCTCACTATAGCAAGAGGTTAAGTTATGCACTGCTGAGTATAGTGTTCTTTGTTTCAGGGTTAAAGTGTAAACCTGTCATAAGAGAAACATGCTATTGATGACCTCTCCTTTTGAAAATGCTTACTACCTGGCTGTTGTGCTGACCATCCTGTTTAAAGTATTGAAGCCTTAAGATCAGTTCAACAGCCGGCAACCAGCATTTTAGGAGGTAGTCAGCAGTGGAACACACACATTTCTCAGACAGCTTATTTGTAAATGTTTATCATGTTTATTCTGTTCTCTTGTTTTGATTACAAAGCTGTACTAAGCGTCTGTCACCTTCACCAAACCACTGGAGTCATTTCATATATATATATATATCACTGTTTCTACATTTGTTGCTGGTGGTGGTTTTTGCAATGTCACAGATTACAACAGTACATTGTTTTTTTTCTTTTTTGTTTTTTTTCTTTCTTTTGATCTTTAGGAGGAGAAGCGATGAAGGCAATGGGCAGTATGATGTAAAAAGGCAAAGGTTTCAATCCCCTCAGCAACCTTCGTCTGTCATTCACCAAGCAGTGCCTTTAAGAGATGACCTCCGCCACCATTTCCCAGGATCTGTGGGACTGCCGCTTAGGCTGGCACCTCCACCCCACGAGATAAATGGGCAAGTTTCATCATCCGGAGATGCCTGGTTGTTTGACCTCATAGAAACCACTTTGCCTGTTGCTAAAGACAAGGTATTAATGACTTTGTATTTTTTTTATTTTTGTATTTTTTTTTTGTTTTATTTTTGATTTTTTGTATTTTTGTAAAGGTGGCCATACACTCTACAACCATCGCAAGACTTTAGTCTTGCGATGGTTGTAAAGGGATTAAAAAAACGTACGATCTGCCTATCTTGGACAGGCAGATCGCACTCTCGATCATCGCAAGCCCGCCCCCCTGAGGGGCGGGCTTCCGATGACCGCAATGCTGAACGGGCAGTGTGCGCGTGCGCACACCGGCCCGTTCAGCATTTATCTTCCAAGCACCGTTCTAACCAGCCGAGAATCGTACGATTCCCGGCTGGTTTTCGAACATGCTGGTTCGACAGAAGACGTGCGACCGTACAGTAGAAACGGTCGCACGTCTCCGTTCACACTGCTCGATTATCGTACGAAAAACCGATCGCATACGATTATCGTACGATAATCGTGCAGTGTATGGGCACCTTTAGGGGTGTATAAATCTCAGGACTTGGAAATGCAAATCCTTTAGCAGGTAAATCAGCTCTTGTATATTTATGCTCGTTATAACATAGTTATCAGTGTTGGCTCTTGTATTTCTGTCCTGACAGGTTCCCTTTAAAAGCTCTCTGTGATTAGCTGATTAATAGTGGTAGCAGCTATGTAACACCCTCCTGTCATTAGACTTCATGATCTGGAGAGGCTTAGTGACTCTTATTTTTAAATATTTATACTTGACTGAATATAGCTTTACTTGCTTGTATGTTAGTATTTAGAGGTGTTAGACCCACAACTCATTGTAAAATGCAACATAAAATCTTAAGGTGTTGTGACCTGAAACATGCCTTTGATTCCTGTTATTCCGCTGCAGCTGAGCCAGCAGATTCTGGATTTGTTTCAAGCCTGTCAGCAGCAAGTCACTGACTTGAAAAAGAAAGATGTCTGTCGAGCAGAACTCCAGAGAGAAATTCAGCAAATCTTCCCCCGTAGGTACATAGACAGCTGGTTTGATCCATTTGTTGCCTATTATTTTGTTTCATGATTATGCTTTACTCTTTCTAGAGAGCAGGCTGTACTTGGTTGGCTCTTCGCTCAATGGGTTTGGCACAAGAAGCAGCGATGCAGATTTGTGCTTGGTTATGAAAGAGGAGCCAGTAAGTACTTACACTCAAGTTTTCATTGTATAGTATGTGGAATTGCTGGTTACATACAAATTGTTTTCTTAATGCGTTAAAGTCACACTTCCTAATTCCTCAGTCTAATCTTTTTCATAAAAAAACAAAGTTGTCCTGAGCGCATGGTCTTCTTCTTGTGTACCCTGGTCCCTATATAGATGCTGGTCGGTCCAGAGCTAGATACATTCTGCAGACAATGTTGTGGAGATATATCTATCTAGATAGATCTATCTAGATCTCTCTCTCTCTCTCTCTCTCTCTCTATATCTATATCTATATCTATATCTATATCTATATATATATATAGTGTGAGAACTAGCCTTAAACAGTAGGGCATTAAGGATTTGGCTACTCACGTTTTAGGGCTTCCTTACCCACTTTTAGTAACAAAGTTCTCAAAACATAATGCAGTTGCCTTAGCAGGGGTTGTTCTACATTTCTCTTTACAAAAACATGCATTCAGCCTCCTGGTTTTGCTTTTGCAGCACCACTGCTCTGGCCTTAGTTCTCAGGCCCTTGTCTGTGTCCCTCAGACAACACAAAGACCCTCCTGACTTGCTAATTTGGTATACACCTTGCAGCTCCCTGCTGCACTGACCTCCACCCTAGCTCCTGGGTGGTGCCCTCCTGGGCAGAGACCTCCTGTGTCCCAGATGCAACTCTGGACACTCGCCAGCACCTGTACCATAAGGGCTGTGCACAGCTGCATAATCAGTGGGTGCTGGTCAGTACCAAAATATGGACTCAGAATTAGAGGCGTTATCCTATCCAAATCCATATGTAACACACATATCCTGGATCACCTCTACCTGTATGGCTGAGAACCACGGGTAACCTCCAGCCCTCCAAAAGCATTGTCACAATACACACATACACAAAAGGGTCCCCAGCACACTTTCAGGCTAGATAGCAAAAACAAAAAACCTAAACTGTTAAACTACTTTTATACACTGTTGCGTCAAGGCACCTCTGATAAATGTTGTCCCTAAGTACACGATCGGAATTTCCCAACATATATAGCAATACACACACACACATTTGTTGGTACCCTTCCACAAAAAATGACCCCACAGATTCCTCTGCCAACCGGTAGTGTGGCCCACTCCTTAAGAAAAATTAAAGGGTGCCTTCTCCAGACTGCATGTTTTAGCTTTTTCCATAGATCTTTGATAGCATTCAGATCAGGCCACTTTAGAATACACTGGTGTTTTGTTTTTCACTATTCTTAGGTGCTATTAGCTGGATTTTTGGGTCCTTTATCCTGTTGAGAAACCTAGGACTTAGACAGAGCTCTCAGACACTGAGTAGTAAATTTTTTTGCAAAATTCCTTCATATTCTTGAGATTTCATTGTGCCTTGCACAGATTGGAGGCACTCCGTGTCAGAGGCAGCAAAGCAGCCCCAAAACATAGCCGAGCCTCCTCCATGTTTCACAGTAGGTACAGTGTTCTTTTCTTCAAAAACTTAGTTTTTCATCTGTGAACATAGAGCTGATGTGTTTTGCCAAAAAGCTCCAGTTTTATTTCATCTGTCCAAAGGATGTTCTCCTAGACGCATTGTGGTTTGCCAATATGCAGTTTAGCAAAATCTAGTCTGGCTTTTGTACGTTTTTCTTTCCACAGTGGAGTCCTCTTGAGCCGTCTTCTTTCTTTGAGCCCACTGTCACTCCGAAAACAATGGATGGTGCAATCCGATATTGATGTACCTTGACCTTGGAGTTCTGCTTGTATCTGTTTGGAAGCTTTCCTTGGCTCTTTGTCATTCCCACTATTCTCTACAATCTGGGGTCGATTTTTATTTATTTTTCTCTTACGGCCTTGTTAATGGAGGCTGGCTACACTAAACTTCTCAATATTTGAAACTGTAGTCACAGGAACATCAGGTCTTATATCCTTTGCCTTGCTGGTCTATAATTTCTAGGGCTGGTACTGATTAAAATTTTTGTGTTCGATTTAATCAAATTTTTTTAATCGATTAATTTCGATTAATTATAACGCACATACAGATCCAACTACATTGGCCTATACACATACAGCACAGCAATGAAGTAGTACAATGAACTAGGATCACACTAATCCAGAACGTTATTAACCAGTTGACATCCGCGGTGTTAAACCCCCTTCCCATCCAGGCCATTTTTCAGTATTCAGCGCTGCGGTACTTTGACTGACATTTATTCCGTCATGCAGCGCTGTACTGAAATGAATTTTATACCCTTTTTTGGGGACAGATAGAGCTTTCTTTTGGACATGTGCCCCATTCAATATGGCCGTCGCTTGAGTGGGGCAACTCAGAATAATAACGTGCTGGATTAGTGTGATTCTAGTTCATTGTATTACTTCATTACTGTGCTGTATGTGTATAGGGCAATGCCTTGCCTGGCACTCGTGCAGAAAGTTTCTTGGGCAAACTCACCGACCCAAGTGGCTCCTTCAGCTAACAAAGGGAAGGGGGGAGGAGTCTGGTGACGTCACGGATATCGACGTCACTGGACTCCTCCCCCCTCCCCTTCGTTAGCTGACGGAGCCACTTGGGGACATCGACATCACCGGACTCTGGAGGAGTCCGGTGACGTCGATGTCCGTGACGTCACCGGATCGCCGGTGGGACTCCCGGAAGGCGGCAAAGAGAGGTGTTTGTTTTCATTAGCGATCAAATGAATTTTAATCGATCAAAAAGTTTCACGATTAATTGAGAAATCGTTAATTTCAGCAGCCCTATAATTCTATTTTCCATTTCTTGAGAGAACTCTCTCTCCTTTGCTTTCTTCTGACCCATGTTCAATGTGGTGCACACAATGATACCAAACAGCAGAGTAACTACTTTTCTCCTCTTAAATAAGCTTACTGACTGATTTTTAGATTTAAATCATGTGAAATGCTAATCACAGAAAGCAGTTTGAAATATTGCCATTATCCAATTATTTAAAATCTTTTCTAGAGCTATCAACGTATCTGGCCAAACCATTTTAGAATATCTTTGTACAATAAGCCATAATTTCTCCCTTTTCAAGCTTTATTTGTTTTGCTGTATGGCAAACCAAAGGCATGCGGATATACATGAGACAATTGCTTTTGATTTCTTCAGTTTTCAGGAGGAATGAAGCATTGTTTCAATGAGCTGTAAATTTGTCCATGTGTATGTATGTGTGTGTGTATATAATGAGGAGGATGATGATGATAATGGCACAAACCGGATGCTGCATGTAAAATATTTATTCAAGGCTTAACAGAGTAACATAAAGACAGTTTAATCCCTTGACGTATTTCACACTGAATAGCACTTACACATGTAGTTACCTGAGGTTAGTCATCACACCTGCAAGTTGCTGCTATTTGCTGAGAATGCTAGCTCCCACAACAAGGCCAGGGTAGATGAAGGTCTTTAGATCCATGTGACTCTAGATGTATGTGACTTATTCTCCTTTAGTCTGTTGTCTAGTTTTCGGAATGCTTTGGACTTGATTTATAAGAACTAGAATATTTTAACCAGCTTTTAGATATGTTGCTTTTAAGGCCTCATTCACACAGGTTAGAGTGGGGCCGTACAGATCCGTGTGGCGTGCATGGCCGCATCGGGCCGTTCCTGGGAAGGACAGGTGATGCATGTGATTGTAAGCAGCAACCTGTTCTTCCCTATGGGAGTACACGGCCGTACGCTCACCCGAACTGCACATCCATGCAGGTGTCAATGCTCGGACGCAGACAGTATCCATCCTGCCTGCGTCCGAGTACGGACACCCGCATGGATGTGCGCGTATGACGGCGTACCGCTGCGTACTCCCATAGGGAAGAACAGGCTGCTGCTTACAATCACACGCAGCATCTGTTCCTTCCTGGGAACGGCCCGATACAGCCGTGCACAGCATACAGATATGTACGGCCCCACTCTGCCCTGTGTTTGAGACCTTAAGCTTACTTATGGCTGCAAAGGCTTCCTGAGATCCTAAAGTGAAGTTATGATTATGAAGTTGGCCTTATGTTTCCTCTACCTGATATCCAAAATGCAGGTGAATCTGGGAGCCCTTTGCATATAGCACCCATCTGTAAATGGAGTCCAACTTTTATAATGGGAGAAAAACAACTCTGTTGGGGAAGTGTTGTATTTTTTTACTTCTCTTGGTAGTTTTGCAATGTTCTCTGTACAGCATTAGAAATAAAATGTAGAACTGTGATTAGAAAGCCAGCTTCTTTCACTTCTTGTGTAGTTGTGCAATTCTAGGTTTGTAAGAAGTTTCCTGTAATATCTGGATAAACATAGTACTACATGGCTACTTTACAACACACACAGGGACCATGGGGGACAAAAGTCGCCCCCCTCCAGAAGGAAGGACAGTGTCAGCACCAATTCAGAGATGATTTGAGGATCTACAGCCGAGTGATACCATTTTTGACAACCGTTCAGGCACTTTAATGCATTTTTAACACCTGAGTTTAGTGTCACTTTAACCCCTTCTCGACTGATGACAGGATTATTCCGTCACAATTGTTCAGTTCGTTTACGACCAGTGATGGGATAATCCTGCCGTGCGGTACAATGAGCGCTGGCCTGTGAAGGGAACAGCACTCATTGAGTTACTGCTGTTGATGGGTCCCTCTGGGTCTGAGGCAGACCCTCAACAGCAGATTAGGTGGTTACAGCCCTGTGATCACAGCTAGAGCTGATCGCTGTAATCGCAGAGCCATGACGGCCACAAAGCTGGCAGCAGCTCACTGTGTTGTGCAACTGCGAGCCGGCTGTGTGTTACAAACGGATACAAACTATCTCTGAGGAGAATACTGTATTCTACTCTGAGATACTAAGTATCAAATGCCCTGTAAATTAAAGAAAAAACAATAACTAATTAATTAGTGCCCCTAGTTTGAAAAAATACAAATTTAAATATAAAGGTTTTTTTACATTTTTTTTTATTTTTTTTAAATAAAAAAAAAAAAAGCCAAAGTAAAAAAAAAAAAAATGTAATTAAAAAAATAAGAAAATATAGCGAGAAGGAGGCTATTAAAGATAGGAGACAAACACCACATTCTAAAATTGTTCCACTCCCAAAATAAACTGAAATCCCAGACATACCCTATAAATCAGGACAAATAAAATAATTTATTATGAATTACTTTCTGTTAACTACACTAATTATGTACACATTATTGCCATAGCTGTGAAAAATGTTTTGGTGGGTATTTTTGTGTGTGTGCATATATCACATCAAAATAAAGCTCATTTTGTCCTTTAGAAAAATGGTAAAATAGCTCCGGTCCCCAAAAGCAAATAAAGTTTCTGCAGCTTTGTCACTAAGGAGTTGAAGTGCCCCTTGCTCTCCAATAAATATCTGTGTTACAAGGCCTTGCTAGGATCTTCTCCATCAGTGGAACACATTGGCAGCAGCAGAAGATCCAAGCAAGGATCACTTGCCTAACTTTCTGCTTTATCTGCAATTTAAAAATTTGGCACAAAATATTTTTAGATGCAAAACATTTTCTTCCCTTTTAAACATAAGGCTTTTGTTTTCTGGCAGATGAATCAGAAAACAGAAGCAAGACACATACTAAGCTTACTCCAAAAACATTTCTACACCCGACTTTGTAAGTATTTCCAGTCTTTGTCCATGCCAGCATTTGCCAATGTTTTTTACTTTAGAAGTATCGATTGGTTCTCTGTGTTTTCTAAAAGTAGGCTTTATTCTGTAATGGATATTTCGAATAATATGGACAAGTATTTGCTTTCTTTTATATTGCCTCATTTAATTAAGCCTTGCATGTTGGTTTGTTTTTTTAGCTTATATTGAAAGACCTCAACTCATCAGAGCAAAAGTGCCAATTGTAAAGTTCAGGGACAAAGTCAGGTAATGCTCTGTGACTGCTAACCTGCTGAAATGCACTTTTTGTATTTTCCTAATCAAACTACAGTACTTAACGTGTATTTATACCTTTGCAGCTGAATTGGGATTACACTTACTTTTACATTTGTTCCATTTTCCCATTCACTTAGCAAAAAAATGAAAATTTGCTGTATCCCTTTGTTCCATGATGTTTCTGCAAACTCCTGGACTGAAAAATCCTGCTTAGTACTCACTCTCTGGGGGGTTGGAGTTTTTTTTTTTCAAATTGGTAACCCATCTTTACTGTGCTGGCAGATTTCATTATCATGTGTAAACTACATGAGCAGGACTGTCTGTCCTAACAAAGGGTCTTAAAGACCTAAGGACATTGAGGGACAGTTTTTTGTTTGTTGTTTTTTTAAAGTTCATGAACAGTCAGTCCCTTATCAGCTCGCAGGAATTTTTTTTTAAACGGAACTCCGGGGGAAAAACTTTAAAGTGACATTAAAGTCAAAAATGTTAATGAAAGCACTTACCTTAAATGATGTCTCTTAATCCGATCATCTTGTCATCTGTCTCTCCAGCACTGCTGCAGGTCTCTGATCCAGCGCTGACTCCTCTGAGCTTGCTGGCACTTCCTGTCCCACGGTGTCTGCATGCGGGTGCACACGCCCATAGACTTACCTTGTGTCTCTCCTTGTGTCCTTGCCAAAAATGTGATCTGTGCATGCGCCCGCCCCAACATGCTTTGTGGCCGACCGAGATTTTTCACATTTTCGGACGGGAGCGCGCAGGGAAGACACAGGTAAGTATTAACCCTTTTCAAAGCGTTGTGGTAGCTAGCAGTAGATATATGCAAAAAAACCTGAGGCTTTAATTATCCTTTAAGTGCTCATTTGTGTCTAGGTTAAAAAAAGAAAAAATTACACTCGCCTGATCCTTGGAGCGGGCTTGGTCTTAGACCTGTTCCTTGAGCCTCTCTCCCTTAAGTCATCACTTTCTATACAGTGTATGGGACTTGAGGACGCCGAGGGACATACCATCGCTGCAGCGGAGGAAGACACAGGCTGGAGGGAGCGTTGCCACAGCTGGCCCGAATTCAAAGTTCAGGTAAGTATAACTTTTGTTTTGTTTTTTGGGCACCTAGATACCATAATTTAACACTTGCAGTGCAGGGATAAGAATTGTATGCCCCCCGGAGTTCTTCCTTAACGACTAGAAGCTTTCTATGTATAATCTTGTTCCAACGAAACGGCTAAAAATAATTTGTTTAGGTATGCTGTGTGAATAGAAACACATGACAAGCATATTGAGAGGGGTTCTCAAATGGCTGCAAATGTAGAAATACCCTTTAATTTCATATGATTAAAAATGAGCTGGTGTAATAGTACTTATTCTGTGTGACTTTATAGGGACCAGTCACTATGGAAGAACTAAACTATTCAGTCATAAATTATAACTATACAGGACTTCCTATGAAAGATGAATATGTACCTTATTACTTGGCTCTACTTATTCATCCTATATCTTAACATTTCAGTCTGACTGTCAGGATCAGAGGTCTCCTTACATACCAAAGTTACTGTCAGACCTCACATACTGTCTCCCAACATCTGATTGTGTCTAAAGTTGGAGAGTTGGTAAGCAGCAACTTTCAGACTTGAAGCGACAGGCCAAGGCAGATTGATTAAAGCTAAATAAATATCATTTTTTTCTTAAGCATGCAGAATGCTAAAAATGTGGAACTGAATGTTCAGATGTGCAAACCCAGTTATCACAGGTTCTCTTTAAACTGACTGCTGTACATATTTTCTATATATTGGGCACAATGTATGAAGCTTTACACAGCTTTATTCAGTTCTTTATTTCCAGCCATGTGACTGTAAATATAAAATCAATTTCTTTTTTTTTTTTTTTTT